AAAGAGTAAGCTATTTCTCAAAGGCAATTCGAAAGGAAATAAGCCTCGCAATGTCCAGTCGCATGAGCGTGTCTCAAAAGGCACCGAACTTCCACATGGATGGTCAAAATTCAGCATATTTTATCAGTTGCCATATTGGAGAAGTTTAAAAATACGTCACAACTTGGATGTCATGCACATCGAGAAGAACATATACGAGAATCTCTTGAACACTTTGTTGTAGGACAGGAAAAAATCGAAAGATGACTTAAGGGCACATCGAGACCTAGCAGAATTGAACATCCGTCCTGAACTGCAAGCTATAGATAAGGATGACGGAAAGTTTGAACTTCCAGTCTCCCGTGTCACGCTGTCGAATGATAAGATCCACAATATGTGTTTATTTCTAAAGTCTATGAAGACACCGGATGGTTATGCTTCAAACATTTCAACAAATGTGCATATTAAGGACAGAAAAATTTTGGAACTCAAGACACATGACCATCATATTCTATTACATCAACTTCTCCCGGTTGCGTTGCAACATGCTTAGAAGGAACTCGCGATGGTGGTAATAGAATTCTACAGTTTTTTCAAGCAGTTGTGCTCCAAGGTGATTGATGTCAGAGAGTTTGAAAAATTAGAGGGACGTGTAGCCAATACACTGTGTAAAATGAAAATTCTATTTCCACCCTCGTTCTTTACGGTCATGGTGCATCTCACAATACATTTAGCATATGAAGCTCGCATTGCAGGACAAGTTCAATATTGCTGAATATACCCTGTGGAGAGGTATTTATTATTATAATGTTCAATTAATATTTGTCAAATTCTGTTACTTAGTTTTATATTATCACAAATTATGAAACTATATGCTTGTAGGTATTTGGATTTCATGAAACAACTGATGCATAACCGTGCACGTCCAGAAGGGTTGATCGTAGAGAACTACATAAGTAACGAGAGTTTGAATTTTATCTCTCATTACTTGCGGGGTGTGGAGACAAGGCTCAATCGTCCCTAATGAATAATTGACGAAACATTCTATAATGATCGTGGGGAGGATACTAGATTCCCCAGAACGGAGCTAGATCAAGCCCACACATATGTCCTGAGCAATGATACTATATTTAACATATATGCGGCGTAAGTATTTAGCCGTTTGAATTAGATCATATTACATCACAATAATTATCTTTATTTAACCATTATAAACGATTCTATTCTAGGCTTCACATCCGATATGTC